AAATGTGATACATAAATATATGAACGTGAATATAAAAATAAAATAAGAACAACAGGAAAAAGTCTATGATGCTGCCTGCAGTTTCTCTCTAGGACTCAGAAATCTGCCTGCTCATTTCAGAGCCCACAAAATTGCTTTTTTAGGGGAACAGCAGGCAATCCTAAGGAAAATGAAAGGCAATGTTAAATGGTGCATGTCTCTCTCAACCAAACCTGTAGCAGTATCACTGTGAAGACTTTGCACTGCTTTCAAACACAAGCTCTCTCCTTCCCCTTTCCTCAGGCTTTTGTGCAGCAGCAGGACAACCACATTAAGCAGCTTCTTAAAATTGTGGAGGATCAGCACGTACAGCTTGACAGGCAGCACAACCAAATCATGGAGCTGGAGGATAAGGTACAGTCACGGGCTGCGTTTCTCTTTGTTGGACCTGTTGTCTCTCCTAACACAGGAGGTGCTAACGGCTCAGCCCTTCGTTCAGGCCAAGCACCCCCCTTTCTCATATTTTGGAGGTGTGGAGGAGAATAGAGGCAATTTGACAGCAAACAGGTACCTTTAGGGATGTGACAGGCAGCTGTGCTGCCATGTAGGAAGCTAGTTTTCTTTTTTTTTCTCCTCCTATTATCTATTATATTATTGTTCTTCTCTTGGTCTGCTAAGTATTATTATTTTCTATCTCTTCCTTCTTTCTCAATGTTCACTTCAGTAGGGAACCATATTCTGTTAATATGTGTAACCATAGCTCTGGGTATAACTGACAGGAACGTATCTAATTTTATTCCTAAGAAGAGGCTATAAAAGCCAAAGTTCTTAAGAAACCGCAATTCTGTGCTCTTAGATCATAGAATAAAATCATGGATTGAAAAGACCTTTAAGATCATCAACTCCAAGCGTGATGTCACCTGAGGAAGCTAAGGTGCTCTTTAAGGTGTTTCACACTTCATGAAATCTATGTTGGCTGAGCATTGAAATAGTCAATCTAAGTGCAACTGAAATCTACTCAAAATTATTTTTATATTTTTAACTGGGTATCTTAAAGAATGAAATCTATAAGAAGAGTTATTCTCTACAACATATTGTTTGACTTGATGTATGAATCTCATCACTTTAGAGCCTTGCAAATTAACACCATGTAACTGTGGTTCTTTACAGTTAAACCACATAGAGCTCCAGGAAATCACTGATAATTCCTTTCTTGCGGATCAAGTGGAACCAGAGGTCATCCCCTTCGTTGTACACAACTCAACTGCTCTAACGTACAAATTTGACGGTGAGACCATATGCCTTAATTAAGCCTACACAGAACATTGTTTTTGTAGCGTTCTGTGTGAAAGTTTTGGGTTGGTTTTAGTTAGTCAAATGCTAAAAGAAATATTCTTATTTTATGTGCAGTGTTGTAGAAAGGAGATAGATTTCCTGCCTTTGGAAACAATCATCCTGTGTTTAGCCCAACTTATAAGACAAGTTAGTCAGCTTATACTTGTCTCCTGCCATACAGGAACAATGTACAATAATGAAATAATAGTGTCCTCAGTCTTCAACTTGGTTACTGTAAACAGGTGCCCTGGCAATCTTTTTACTAATTAACAGAATTTGGACAAGTTTTTGGCTTTTGGTTTTAAGTGACATTTCTGAACTGCAGCAATGGGAACACTATTTATTGGGATTTTTATACGGAATACAAAAGTCCTTTTGCCAGAATCTTAGGCCTTTCAAGCTTACCAAGATTATCTGAACTGAATTCCAGACAGCCTAAATTAAAAAGTACAGGTGGTCCGACCACCCACCACTAGTTCTTCATAGTACTACCAAGCCAACAGCAGCAAAGGACTTTTTTTTAAGAGTCAAGTTACAAAGCTGAGTTAAAAACTTACCCCATCCAAACCAGGATTTGTAACTCTCACGTTCACTTTCCCAGGTGCTGCTCCTGACTGCACTGCTCTCTATAACAGTGGCATACGCTCCAACGGTATTTACACTATTAAGCCCAATGGCTCAGAAGCTTTTGATGTCTACTGTGAAATGAAGTTTGGTAAGAGAGTTGTGCTAGCAACAGTCTAATGTCACATAAGTGTTTCCTACAAGTGAAAACCTGTGCCCATCACAACTGGTCACAAGCTTATCAAGGACTATGGATCCCCTCTTGACTTTTGTTATTGCTTTGAATAGGCTCCAAACCTGTCGTGTAAAGTGTCTATAGCACCACTTTCACAATGCACATGTCTCTTGTTTATACTGAGGAAAGGACTTTCTTTTCTTTGAAACAAATGAAATGTGTTTTAAAAAGCGGGCATCTTTAGACAGAGTGTGTGCAAATGGCAATAGAAATGCCACTATACCACAACCACTGCAAAAATAACTTCTGAAAATCAAAACAAATGGTAAAGAGCAAATACCCTAGCAAAATTTTGTTCAGATAATACAGATTATTGCTTGAAACTTAGACACTCCAAGCTAATCCAAAAAGGTGCATCTTGGAGACAGGATTCCCACTAGCATATCTCTAGCTACGCCAAGTTTGGTAGAACTGGTAACTAGTTATCATGTGGATCCAGATTTCCCAAAGACAAGCCGATACAGATCAGGATACAGAGCAACTACCCCTGCTCCGTTTTTGTAAGCACATTTGGCATGTGTGTCCTTTGGCACTGCCTGGAAGGCTCGTATAGTCTGGCCAGGCCGTGCAGCCTCCTGCAGTGCCGTTCTCCTCTCCGCCTTCCCTGTGCCATCCCCTTCCCGCAGCTCCTTAGACAGTCTAAGGAATGTGGCAGGGCAGCGTGATCCTGCTGGACGTGCAAACACTCTTGGCATGGGGTTGCTCTCTGCAGAACGCTCCCTGGGTTGTGTGTGTCGAAACTGGTTAAACAACAAGGGTGTCATGACCTGGTCAGCAGAAAGATCCCACTGCAGCTGGGCACAAAATGCTCCAACGGTTTTTACCAAGCTTGGAGTTGCAACGCCAGTAATCAAACCCTAACATTATTAAGAGCCTGACAAACTGAAGAACTATCTGGATCGTTTTTCTTTTTAACATTTTCCCTTGTAGCCACCTGCATTGCAAACCCATCTTCCTCTTCATTGCAAGGGACAGTGAATGCACATAAGGACAGGCGCCAGCAGTAGAGCCCACATCAGCAGGCTGATCAAGTCAGTTACGTCCCATCTTGTGTCTAGCAGTTTAACATTTAAGCTGGGTTTTGACCAATATCCCCTTTGCATTCACAGGCACTTCTTGGACTGTGATTCAGAACAGAATAGATGGATCACTAGATTTCAACCAAACCTGGGACACCTATGAACACGGTTTTGGAGATCTCAAGGGTAAAACTGCTTTTTTGTTTCTTTACTTTTTATCAGTCAGCACCAGAAGAGCAAACCCTGCAGAAAGGGCTTATCAGAAAATATCACTCCAGAAAATCTTCAAGTACATATCTTTAAATTGTTTTTTAGAAACCTTTGCTAAATCACAGCTGAAATATTTTAAAGATCATTCAAATTACTGAGATTTTAGCACTTAGAAAGGTATTCTTTAGGGTATTCTCATAGACACAAAACCTCCTCAATGGGCTCCTTCCTCTTTGGCTTTCTGACAACCCTCCGGGCAGCCCATGGCCTTGCCTGTGCAGACCGGTCAGGAAACACCCACGCTCACCTGTTAATCATCAACTCCAAGGGAATGTTAGCACCAGGTGCTGGCCAACAGCCTCCCCCAGCAGAGCACTTTACCCATTTTTTCACCTTACAACAACATGGTTGTTCTTTTGTTTAGGAAAATATTTTGCCTTTCTGAGCACAGACTAAAACCGCACTAATTCGGGCAGCACGATTTACGTCTTTCACCTCTTCTACAATGAAGAGCTGCAGCATCTCAACCTCCCTCCCATCGTGGCCCAGCAGCTCACGATGGAGGGAGACTTTCACCCATGCAGCTCGTCTTATCATGGCCAACGCCACCATCTTATCACGGCCAACGCCACTGTTGCCCCTGGGCTGGTCTCCAACGCCTCTAAGCTAAACCAACAGGAAGCCACGCTGCCTCAGCAGCAGAAAGAGGATCATACCCTACAAAGCTGTATAATGCACAGTTCTGGGCTCCACAGCACAATGGATGAAACACAGCAAGTCGCTGCTGCTGACCTGTAGGTTGTCTGGGTGTTTTATTCAATCACCTTGTCTTCTACTGCTGTAAATGCCACCTGGATGTACAGCATTCACCTTCGGCTATGGTATTGCCACATGTGGTAATGGTAATGCACTGGCAGCAGTGGCAAAGCTAAGCTGCTTAACTCTAGGAAACAAGAAAACTAATTATCAGGGATCCTAGCAAAAGGAAAATGCTAAAGTTAACTTCACTTTGTACACAAGGGTATCAAAGCCTCAGTTTGATTCTACATTTCTTTCCTTAAAAAACACAACAACTGCAATTAGGTTTTATATATGTCATTTGCTTCATTTGTCTCCTAGATTCAATTATGCATATTTAAAATGTCTTGAACTCCCCCTGTCACAAAAGGTGAGGAAGTTAAGAGAAGCTCCATTGATATTTCTAGCTTTTATTAATCATTTGTGGGCAATTAAAAACAGATAAACAAAAAAAAGGTACCAGGAGACCTCTGAAAAGATCAACAGTCCCCAAGACTCATATTATTGGTTTAATTAAAGCAATTAATAATCTCATTTAAATACTATATTTTCACATGTACCACACACAGGTTACCTGTAAAAAACAAATTCAATAGCGCTGTGATCTATATAGGTTTTTAGGGAGAGTTTATTACATAACCCCTTTCCCCATTAACTCTGCCTTTGATTCTCCATTGATAACTTCTTCTGTCTCCAAAACTTCACTTTGCATCTCTCTTGATCCTGATGTCATTCAGTTTATTTGAAAAATATAGATTTTCAAATCTATTTTCAAATTTTAAAGGAGAATGAGTTGTGTGAGGTACATGTTAAATACACAAAGAGCATGGTAAGCGTGCTCAGACTCTGCTCCATGTTAACTGCAGTTATTTACTACCACTTTGCAGGGGAATTCTGGCTGGGCCTGAACAAGACCTACTCCATTACCACACAAGGGGACTACATTTTACGGATTGAGCTGCAGGACTGGAAAGACACGAAACGCTACATTGAATACGCATTCAGCTTGGGAAGCCCTGAAACAAACTACACCCTCCGGCTCATCCGCGTCTCCGGGAACATCCCCAACGCGCTGCCCGAGCAGACGGAGCTGAGGTTCTCGACCGCAGACCGGGACATGGGCACAGCCACCAACTTCAACTGTCCGGAAAACTACCTAGGTATCAGTGTGCTGGATAACTTTAAATGGCAGCTTCCTTATTACATATAGTACTATGCTTAACTGAAGAAGTATTTATATTAGCCTGGCTTTAGAAATGTAAGAGAGGGGAGCAGGATCTTCCTCCTCAAAAAAGGAGACACTTTTGGCGGATAAGGGTCCTAAATTGATGAAGCATCATCATTCTGCTTTATAGATGGGCAAATGTAAAGCACAGTGAGACTGTGCGAAAGACTAACATTAGAAAGAGAATGAAATGCAGTTCCAAGATGAAATCCTGAGCTGCAAGTTCTTCCTCTAGGGGCTGCTCTGGTATGGGAATAGTGAAATCCTTTCTGAGGGAAAAGAGAATGGGAGTGAAATGCCTCTTAGCTCCATTTTGACTATAAAGCAGAAATTAAGGATAATGGCAAGTTTGGTGAGGCAGATACTAGCTGTTTGTCAGGCATATATGCTATAATCACACTCAAACCAATAGGATAGCTGTGAGGCTGAAGTTGTATTTCTCCTTAAAGATAATTTGGTTTAAGAGATTACAAAACACTTTGAATTTATGAAGCTTTTATGTTTTTTCCAGCCTATAGCAAAAAGCAAACAACCAAAAAAAGTGATTAATAATTGAACCACAGGATATAGAATTGCCCCCCCAGCACTTGTTTCATGTAACAAGCATTTGTGGATGCCATTCTAGGCTTTAACATTACTATCATCTGAATCAATGCTGAGAATTACTCAGCTCTAGTGACCATAAAGCAGGTGGTCAATGAATTTTGAAGTGCTAAACCCCTGTTTTAACATAGAGGCTCTGCCAGTCCTTTGCCAAAAAAATGAGTTTCAAGTGATGAAGGAAATAAGCCAAAAAATGATAATTTGTTTACTAAAGGCTGTCGGTGCTCTTCCTCCTCCTGCAGATGCAGGGATTCAAGAGACCTCTTTGTTCTTGGGAAAAATACCACAAATCAGAAAGACAGTTACAGGGGGCTACAGGAAGCACAAAAGGGCTGAGTTAGCCCCAGACCGTGGCACTACATGGCAGCCTTTGTGCGAGGAGGGCTGTGGGCACCAGAGCTTTTGTGCCAGCGGTTACTGTCTGCATCACTACCTTTGCATCGGCACTCAAGCTGCAAGTGGGTTTATTCCCAAGTGCAAGGGGGTTTGTGCATAAGCAGCATTTCAGTTGGGTATGCTGAGTAATTGCCACAAACAACAGAAAGATTTTGGCTGGAGCTGTTCTAAAGAAGGTTTATTTTGCAAACGCCAGCTTTATGGTCAGAAACTGAGCATTGTACAACTGTACAATTTCAGGGTACAACTCACATTAAATGGCATTACAATATTTTTTTTTAGGTGGCTGGTGGCACAGTGAGTGTGAGGAAACCAATCTCAATGGGAAATACGTCACCCCGAGACCAAGAGGAAGGCTGGACAAAGAAAAGGGCTTATACTGGAAACCTAAGAAAGGAAGATACTATCTACTCAAGTCAACCAAAATAATGATCCACCCAACAGATTTGAAAGGTTTTGATTGAATGCTCAACTTGGTGCATTTTAATTCATTGAACATTGACTGAACATTAAATATAACATGAACCTTATGATGTAATAACAAGAGCTGCAGGTCTAAACTCATGCACTGTAGTATGGTGTATTCTCCAATGACAAACTCAGAGGCATTTGTGATCTCCTTGCAGTAGCTTTGGTGAGTATTCTCATTACCCCTACCCCAAATATGTGTGCTGTAAATGTAGCTTTTACTTGCCTGTGATCAGGCTCTAATGCCTAGAGATTTTCATATATTAGGTAATATTGCTTGGTGAAAAGGATTTTCAAGCTGTTGCTTCTGCGTTGTTAGAAGGGAACCAACAAAATGTTTCCGTAAACATAATGGACTGTCAAAACCCTACAAAAAACATCTGCAGAAAGAAAGAATTTTCCTTTGTGAAGTAACTGAGCTTATGTTTGGTTCATGTTACTGTTATAGGATGTTTCTGAGCAAATGAATAAGGGGTAACTCTCCATTTCATGCATCTGTGTATATCCAAACAAGCTTCCAGCCATGTGAGTCTGGCCAGTGCTGGCTAAAGCACTGTAGTTGTGCAGCTCCAGATGTGCACACCCACACCCACACAACCAAAGCCAGAGCACAGAGCCAATCTTTTTAGATATCATGCTCTGAAGAATAACATTAAAAACTAAGCTTCAAAGCACACTGAAATAAAGGAGAGATTTCATATTCATTTCCCAGGGATACAGAGCCATCCCTTTCACAGAACCACAGAATGGCTAAGGTTAGAAGGGATCTCTAGAGATCATCTGGTCCAACCCAAACCCCATGTTTTCTTTCATCACCATTCTCATTCCCTTTGCCACCACTGAGTATACCTCACTGAAGAATTAAATGAAAGACCAAGTGAGCACACAACAAAATGCCTTTCAAACAGAGAAGAGTTGATAACTGCATTTTTGAGACAACTCTGATGCAAGGAGTGGTACCAACTAACCTATCCTGCATGAAACTGCTATACGACAGTGTTAATCCGTTCCTAAGAATATCTACACATTTGCTTAACTTTATTCAGCTGCAGAATCATAAGACAAGTTGACATATTTGTGGATGCCCAATCGTGGAAATTTTTCCTGACAAAAACCTAAATTCTGCAGTTATATTGAGTCATATTGACTTATATATCTTATCTAACCCTTGTACAGCGTGGATTTTTTTATCTCAGCATTTGTAACCATACAGAAAAGGTTTTTAAACTGTAATGTGCCAGAGTGAAAAAAGTGTAAATACCAATGTGCTAATTACAGAGAAATTGCAAAACTACTTTTATTTTTCATGGATTTATTGTTAAGATCACACAGTGTTGCTTACTGTTCTGGTGTATTTTAATCTTTGATTATCTGCCTAACATCTATAATAAAACACTAATAAACACTCTCAAAAAAATGGGATATTGAACTTTAATAAACTGTCCTGTAAGAATTAATTTCTTAAAAATATGGTTTGTATTTACCTGACTTTTACAAAACGCAACATATTTGGTAAGTCAGTGAAACTTCTAAACTAGAGGTGACTGTTTCACTTAGATGATTAGTATCTTGAAAGATGTTGTGAAAAGAAATCAAATAATGAAAATTAAAAATATCTGCTCCCCCCCACCCTAGTTAAAAAGTTATTCTTTCCTAAGAAACTTAAAAATAGTATTTGTATATTCCAGATCTTCAGAGGACTTTATAATGCACTATAAAGAAATTGCATTTAAATCAAAATATGAATGAAGGGATTATGCATTTTCCTGGCTTTTTATCCCCTGCTGGAAAGACAGCCAAGTCAGAAAAAGTGTCAGACAGTAGTAAAGCTAGTAAGTAAAATCCCAGAAGTTTGTGAATGCAGCTATGATCAACTGTTTAAGTGAATACAGGCAAATCACACAGTCCTCCACTCCAACATAAATCTAAATCCTTTTTTCTTTCCCTTTTTTTTTTTTTAAGAGATGATTTCATATGGAAAAAATGGCTTCAGTACACGGACAAAAAGAAGTGTAAATAAAATCAGTAAGAATGCAACTGAATTTCACCTTGAAATTCAGGAAAAGAAAAAATCTCCCTCGCATGTTCCTGTTCAGAGACAAGTTTTGTGCAGATATGTTCTTCCCTATTTTCACTATTTTGCTATTTCAACCTAGACCCTTTTTATGTCTCTGCACAGACAGCAGACAACAGATATACTGATGCAGTAATTTTTGCAACAAACTGCATGATAAGGTAGGAATCTCTCCCTGCCAATCTTGGGCACTAAAATGTGAAATGTATTTCAAAACTCTAACCTGTATGTGGTATTTGGAATGTAGACATCCCTGGCAGGAAACTCCAGAATTTCTCTTGTAGGTCTCACTCTGCTGTCTGGGTAAAGTTTGACTTGCAGCAACTCTGGAGTTAGACAGTAATGAGGATTCTCTGGAGCTGGAGAGATGTCTATCTTCAACTGAGCTGTAAGAAACAAATATTTTTATTAAACAGAGAACAAATATAAATCAACATGTATGTTCATTCAGGTTAATATGTTATATATTCATTTCAAAAATAAACAAAGGTAAATTAAAGTTAACATAGATTTATTACGAACAAATATCAGTGAATCAATCTGGTACCTAGGACTACTCACATAACCAATGAGAAGCGACAGAAAAGATGAATCTAACCCGTCCCAAATGCTGTTCTCACAGGCAAGTTGGGGAAATACAGTCTAGATAATGCTGCACAGTGGTGAATGCCCAGCTAGCATTAAAAGCATTACTCAAAATCTTATCAATAATCTTGCCTATCAAACTGGAAGGCTACATCAAGAGTTGCTGTGGGCTAACCTGCACCAAGGTTATTGAAATATTTTGACTAGTAAGTCAGGTGACAATATCAATAACACATTTAGAGTCTGGGGATATCACGAGGTTGGAAGGACTATAAAAATCTAGAGTATGGACAGGACAGTTGGAGAAATGCGCTGAAATGAATAAAGTGAAATTCAAGAAAGACCAAGGACTTGGATTAAGAAGGCAAACATACAAATATAAAAAGACAATAATTGCCATGGATTTGTTCTGTGGTAAAGGGCTGAGGGACAACATTGATGACAAACCAATGTTCAAAAAGACAGCTACAACTGCTCCAGGATATATCAATTCAGTGGCACGTTTAAGACACTGGAAACAAATTTCTCTGCTGTGTTTGGCACAAATGAGATCTTAGAAGGAGAAGCATACCCAGATTAGAGAAATATGCTTGAAAAAACATAGACGGACAAGTTAGGAGAACTTCAGCAGAGTAACAAACCCATAAGCAATTTAAAAATCACAGCCTTCAAGGAAGGGCTGAAAAAAATCAGATTGGTTATTCTAAAAAGCAGAGGTAAGACAGAACTAATAACAGCATTCAAATATTTGAAAGGTTACGATAACTTCCCCAAGGGCATGACATACATAATCAGATTAATTTACAGTAAGATAATTCTGGCAAGTTTTCCTAATACCGAACCTTGCTACAAGGTCAATTGAGAGCTGGCAGAGATGATCTAAAGAAGCCGTAGATTTGCTGTCTCTGGAGGTTTTTTAGGAACAGGTTAGGTAAATATTGGCAGGAATAGCAAAGGTCAGGGACTGGTGATGCTTTAATGCCAGTGTTGCCAGTTTGTATTTTTCTTTCTCAAACACAGGTGCAGTCTGTTCCTACTAAACAAGCGGGAGACCAGGAGAGACCTCCTCTCAGCTGAGACACGATGTTTTACTCACAGAACAGAGGTCCCTCAGGCCACGCTGGGCTTAGGGCTTTGAGGATGCTGCTTCCAGTTTGATAGAGGCTGCACAAGTGCACGTGCCTGTTGGGTCTTAGCAGGGGTTGCTCTCAATTGACTTCAGGGTTTTCTCTCAGCTGTCCGTAAGAACTAGGTGGGAATTGAGGAGGACTAAACACAGTCTTAACACATGAGAACAAAAGGATCTCATTCGTTACCTGTAATAGGCCTCAATCTCCGTAACACTGATGATGGCCTTCTCATATCTGCAAGAAACTTGTACAAATCTTCATCACTCAGGCGATCACCCTCCTGTTGATTGTTAGGGAAAAATGATTAAGTACACTGCCCTTCAGGACACTGAGACTATGAATAAACCATCTAATACTATATTCTCTTCTCTCTGGTGTCAAAATGTACCTTTCCAGAACAGGAAGGTGCTAACATTAACTTCCAAAATATAGTTAATTTCTTCATCCTTTTTCCTTTCTTTTTTCCTTATAAATCATTATGACAGCAGTAGGACCTTTTGATTGAAAATCTTTTTTTCTTTGCATCAATATTATCTTTTTCAAAACTGAGAATAGTTGTTAAGATTTTCCCCAAATATCCAATTTTGAGTAAGTGTAACAGGTTGGAAAACAAATAGACAAACAAAAAACCCAAGTCACTTAGCATGGTGATTCCCCCTTCCTTCTACCCTGCCTTTTCTTTGGTATGAGTCTGAAGGAGTTAGCAGCAGCACTAAGAAAAGTTAAGAAGTGCAAGGAGTTTATGTTGCCAGTTTTCCGTGTGCCACTTTCTAACAGCTCAGAGCATCCTTAATTTTAATCTGAGCAATATTATAGAAAATATTACTCTGCCACACTCTAACTGTCCAAAAGCAGCAGATGTCTGGTAATAAAGATAAAAAGGAAAATATGGGAAAAAAGGAAGAAAAAAAAAAGGATATTATTCAGTTAATTTTATTCAGTGAGAGAAATCATTAAAAGCAGCTTATTCAACATTCAATATATAGAAGACAAATCCTTGTATTCCTAATAATCAAAAAATACTCCAAAAGTATGAACAATCTTGCAGTATACTATTAAATCCCTGTTATACACAAAAGTGACAGTTTTTCCTGAACCAGATGTGGCATTAAGCACACTTTGGCAAACCTAAATGAACTGAAATCATTTTGCAAACATACGGTACCTGTTTAAAGAAGTTTGTCACTGTCAGAGTAGCCGGCCTAAAACTGGTCAAATTACAGGCTTCATCCCCACTAGTGGTCCTTTCTAACGAACGCCTCCCAACAATACTGGAATTCCTTCTCTCCGACCAAGATCCCTTACGTTCTTAAAAAGAAATAAATAGGGGGAAAGAG